ATCAATGATGAAGATGAGTGAAAGGGCTTTGGCTAAGCTCGCAAGGTTGCTATGTCAATGCAAATGGCCAAGAGAGTGAGCTTGAGTCGGCCATGGGGCTTAAATAGAAGCCCCCACGAAATAGAGCCGTTGTACCCCTTCACTGGATACAGCGTGCGGTGATCAGACGCTCCGATCATACTGACCGGACTCCGAACATAGCGTCCGGTCGCCCGATGTCAGCCACGTGTCACACTGTGTTCAACAAGAGTCGTCAGATCTCAACGGTCATCTGTTGACCGGACGCTCCGCTACAACTAACCGGACTCTAAGCCTCCAGCGTCCGGTCGTTTCCAGTAAGGTTTCAGAAACGCATTTCTTCGACCGGACGTGTCCGGTCATGCTTGACCAGACCCTGCCAACGTCCGATCACACTATGACTTCTTACTGTGCCACCCGACAACACGACCGGACCCAAACCCTTAGCGTCCGGTCTGTCCATGACCCAGCATCCGGTCAGTCACCGACGCTGGCGTCTTCACTGCCATACATGGCCGGACGCGCCGGTCCCCCAGAGGTCCAGCGACACTAACTCATTTTCACTTCTATCTTCTTCACCCTTGCTCAAATATGGCAACCACCAAGTGTATCACCTTGTGCACATGTGTTAGCATATTTTCACAAACATTTTCAAGGGTGTCAGCACTCCACTAGATCCTAAATGCATATGCAATGAGTTAGAGCATCTAGTGGCACCTTGATAACCGCATTCCGATACGAGTTTCACCCCTCTTAATAGTACGACTATCAAACCTAAATGTGATCACACTCTCTAAGTGTCTTGATCACCAAAACAAAATAGCTCCTACAAAATATACCTTTGTCTTGAGCTTTTTATTTTTCTCTTTCTTCTCTCTAAGTCGAAGCACTTGATCATCACCATGCCATCATCATCATCATGCTATGATCTTCATTTGCTTCACCACTTGGGAGTGTGCTACCTATCTCATGATCACTTGAGAAACTAGGTTAGCACTTAGGGTTTCATCAATTCATCAAAACCAAACTAGAGCTTTCAGGAGGCTAGATTGCAAAGTGTGCGTGCACATGCTGCGGACTCGGTCCATGGGTCGTGGACCGGCGGTGGGATGTGTGTGTGGTTCACCGTGGACCAAGTCCATGACGAAGGGGTATTGAAACGATTAAATTTTAGGTGATGGACGGCTAATGTATTCAGATGGTATATCTGGATTTACTTTTCTAAAGAAAAACGGTCGTATATCGCATAGGCATGATGTCATGGTGATGTCATCAAGCTAATAACGGATCGTGGAGCTGGCATATGACGTCGTCCCTTGGCAAAGCAAAACACTGGATGACGGCATTGATTGGGTGGCCGCCGCCGCCGAGGTGCTGCACCTGGAGGCCCTCAACGTGGGCGACGAAGGGGAGCGTAGCGACAGCTGGGAGCGGCCTGGATGCCAAGCCTCACGCCATCGTCACTCGTCAGAGACGACGACAACGAAGATGAACAGAAGCAGGGGACTGAGGGAGGATATGAACCGCACTGTTTCGCCAGAGGAAGGGAGGGAACACCTGGATTGCAGTTCCCTAGGGCGCCTGAAGACTATCGTCTACGTGCGACGACGACAAGAGAAGCATGTATCGCATGCGGGGAAGGCTTTGTAGATTGATGGCGTTGCGGTCTTTTTGGGCAACGGATCGCGTTTCCAACGGATATGGCGTGGATCGAGCGGAGGAGTCAATCACGTGTGAGGAGTCGATCGCACTGGTGCTGGGTTTGTTTGCGTGGAGGGGGGTTGATCGTGCGCGCTGTTGTAGGCGCAGAACGGGGTTCGCAGGCACGCGGGGAAACCACTGGGGCGCAGGCGCGGATCGTGCGCACGCAGTGAAACCACTAGGGCGCATAGATCGCAGGCACACGGTGAAGACCGCCGGGTGCACGAAAATGCTGGCTGCTTTTAGTACAAAAGTTTAGTTGCACGGGTACGAACCTAGTGTGTGTGTGTATATATATATATATATATAGCGTACTGTTCTATAGCTGGCCGCAGAATAAGTTATTATGTGGCCACTTTGAGTTACGATAATTATTATACTAATTTACGAGATTATGGTAACTCCCTCATAAGTGATTTACTATAGCATTATGGTAAATATCATCTTGAATTATAGTAACCCATGTATCGTAAATGTGTATTGTCATTATCATAAATTGGTACAAACATTATCATAAATCAAGGTGGCCATAGAATAAGTTATTCTATGGCCAGCTGCAGAATAGCTTTACCGTATATATATATATATATATTATGATTTTAAAAAACAATTCATTATATGCCATCAATTAAACCTTAAATTCCTCATATGCCACTGTTTGTGATTTGGGGGTCCCATGTATCAAACATATAGTGATACATATCAGAGTCTGTGAGTTTCCTCAATGTTATATAATAAAATCGCTAGTCACAATCATAACTACCCGTAATTTATACCCCCCCACCTAAAAGAAACTACAAACATCAAAAAAGCACACACGCTCACAAAATATAATTAGTATGAATTTATAACCCCACTAAACAAAAGACTGCTAACAAAACATCAATAGAAGATAATAGATGCAATTCTCGTGCACAAACCATACATTGGGGGCACCTGCCTGGGGTGGGGGTTGTCAAACTCACCACAACACGCAAAATCAAACTCAACAATCACCCCATAGCGTCACAAGAAACACATGGCCATTACAACCAAGAAAGCTCTAAAGACAAGAATACCGTTGTCAACATAAAACTATTCTTCAACAAGAGAATATGTTGTCTCGCCCTTCTATATGCGGACGTGTATGACTTTTATTACCAAACTAGAACGACTTGTATTTTGAAACAAAAGAAGTAACTTTTGACATAGGATTAAACAAAGGACACAATTTTAGGCTACGGAGAAGAAAACTGGGAGGGCATGAAGGTGGCACCTTTGTGCATGTTTGGTCTCTTAGGCAAGCCTCACTTTGCAAGTATGCATTGTCCAGCTAAATTCCTCATATGCCACTGTTTGTGATTTGGGGGTCCCATGTATCAAACATATAGTGATACATATCAGAGTCTGTGAGTTTCCTCAATGTTATATAATAAAATCGCTAGTCACAATCATAACTACCCGTAATTTATACCCCCCACCTAAAAGAAACTACAAACATCAAAAAAGCACACACGCTCACAAAATATAATTAGTATGAATTTATACCCCCACTAAACAAAAGACTGCTAACAAAACACAATAGAAGATAATAGATGCAATTCTCGTGCACAAACCATACATTGGGGGCACCTGCCTGGGGTGGGGGTTGTCAAACTCACCACAACACGCAAAATCAAACTCAACAATCACCCCATAGCGTCACAAGAAACACATGGCCATTACAACCAAGAAAGCTCTAAAGACAAGAATACCGTTGTCAACATAAAACTATTCTTCAACAAGAGAATATGTTGTCTCGCCCTTCTATATGCGGACGTGTATGACTTTTATTACCAAACTAGAACGACTTGTATTTTGAAACAAAAGAAGTAACTTTTGACATAGGATTAAACAAAGGACACAATTTTAGGCTACGGAGAAGAAAACTGGGAGGGCATGAAGGTGGCACCTTTGTGCATGTTTGGTCTCTTAGGCAAGCCTCACTTTGCAAGTATGCATTGTCCAGCTAGAAACCGAAGAAAGGAAGCAGTTGGGCCCCATTTCTTTGTTGCCTTGATTTTTGTGCAATCTAATTTTTACTTGACGATGATGCATGTGTTTGGTTTTGGGATAAGAAGAAATGGGTTGGACTCAACCCTGTTTTTAGTGATGGGTTGGATCCATTTCTTGTTTGGTTAAAGGGTTAGGTTTATCCCATGTTATTTGTTTGGTTGAAGTGTCACGTGGGCCTGCACGTCACCCTTTGACTCTTTCTTCTTCGTTGCACTCTTCTCTCTCCCCTCCGATGTGTCTGCGCAGTCGCTGATGTGCCTCCTCCACACTCATGCACCCCCCTGCGCGCCCACATGGACGCAGCCGCTGCGATTGTCACCGCTCCTCCTCGTGCCTTCATGTGGCCACCAAAAGTGAGTCGTCCTGGTTTCTCCGATTCGGAGGGATAGGGGGAATGCGCATCTGAGCAGAATATTCCTCCCCGAGATAACCTTAACCCAGTACGCCGTGAACACTCCAAAACCCAGTACTCTGTGAAGTAAACACTAAAAAAAAGAGGGGGAGGGGGGTCCAACCCACTCCAACCAAACCCATAAGAAGTGAGCTAGCCCAAATTAACTCTCCTTAACGGGCAGCTCCACGTTCAAACATGGTCTTTGTGAGTCTTTGTCCTATGATAAAATCAACTAGACAGTAAGACAGGTAAATGCGGAAGCTGGTTGGCTTCTTTAATTTATCGTGAGATGCTACGTTCGACCTGTATCTGTATGAACATGTGCTCCTCATCCTTTTGTTGAGATAAAGGCTGTGTTCGGCTGGAAAAAAAAAAAGCACTGTAGCTGGCTGAAAAAGGACGATAGCTGGCTAATTCCTCTCACAGATTTCTCCTAGCGAACGGGACCAAAGTCAACTATTATTTCTTTTGAACACGTCGCCTACCGAAATTCAAGCGCTGTCTTGAGATTTGCGGTTTGTGAATCTGTTCCTAATAGTCAATTGCTCTATCATTTATTCAGAAGTATCGGCCGTGGAAAACTGGAGAGGAAAAGACGCGGGACGGCGCGACGCTGCTCTGCACTTTCTGTGAAATTTCTTCCGCTTGTTCCGGGCCTCCGGCGGCCTGCTGGCTGCTGCCTATAAAAGGCAGGGGGTCTCCTGTGGAGCTCCCACCTCCCAGTGCAGTGCATGCAACAAAGAAACACCTGCAATCGCAACACACCGTCACTCCGTCAGTCGACGTCACCCCCAGGCCGCAGGTCGCAGCTGCAGCTCGAGCTCGCTCTCTGAAGATCCCCTCGCCGCCGTGCATGGAGCCTGTGTTCACCGTCGAGCATGGCCACGAACCACCGGTAGTTCCACCGGCGCCGCACCATGGGCCGGGGCAGATGGAGGGCCAGGGTCGGGGCTTGCGCGTCGGCGGTGGCGGCGGCGGGGCGCGCCCCGTGGTCGCCCTGCTCCTCTTCCTCGGCGTGACCGTCGGCTTCGCGTTCGCGGTCTACCACGCGCGCCACAGCGGGCGCGACCTCGCGTTCGCGATCGTCACCTACTACCTCTTCGTCGTGCTCGTGTGCTGCGTCGCGAAGCTCCGCCAGCTGCGGCGCGACCCGGCCGCCACGGCGGCCGAGCGGCGGCGCGTCAGGATCGGGGCCTGGTGCATCTCGGTGGCGCTGGGCACCACGGTCACGTCGCGCGTCGCCGACGCGATGCCCGGGCTGGCGCTGAAGCTGGTCGTGTGGGGGGTCTCCGTCGTGCTCCACGGGCTCGGGCTCTACTTCCTTTTCCTCCGCAAAGGCGCCGAGCGCTGCGACGCGGAGGAGCTCCGCTGCGGCCAAGCCGACGTCGGCCGCCAGCCCGCGACGGCTTTGCACGGCGGGCTGTCCCCGGAGGAGAATGTCTAGTGAATCTTCAGCCTGTGTCCGATCCGCGCGCATGTACAGCAATTTGCTATTGCAACACGGTGGACTGGGCAAATCTCGCCATTCTTTTATTCATTCAAATAATCTGTACATCATATCGTGAAGCAAATATTAGTACTGTAATGAATAAATCGTATTGTTCTTATTTCATCTGTCGTTTGTCAATCTCTCCTTACTGTCAAGAAATGTACCTGGGACCTGGGTCAAGGTATTCCTTGTTTATAGTATTTCAGATGAAATTCCAGCCATGCCAATGTTCATGTCTCAGATGCTTTCAGGAAGCTTATAACAATCCTATAAATTTGGTGTTGGTGGTGTCCTGTCGCTACTACCAGCGTCCACTGCCTGGTTTACAGGGTTGAAAGCAGGCAGATTTGCCAACGTCTCGACAGGAGATGAAGAGCTCGCCGCGCTCCCGCATTTTGCTTGCCTTGTCCTCGTGTCCGCCCACCTCGCGCGCTTCACGCGCCACGCCGTGCTGGCCGCACACGCACGCCGTCCTCGTGCTGCTCTCCCTCTTCGTCGCCCGGTTCAAGGAGGCGCCGCCCACCACCTCCGGGGGCCGGGGCGAGGGCCCGCCTCAGGCTCTGCCGCTCTGGGGCTGGGTGCTCTCCACCTTGGTGACAGGCCCTGTTCGCCTCCCGCGTCGAGCCGGCGGTGCCGCCAGCAATGGCACTGCTCCTCTACGGCTCCGCCCTACTCGTCGCCGCCGGTGGGATCGTTCTGCTCTTCCTTTGCGACTCTGGCGACGGTCACGGTGCTGCCGGGCTTGGGACGTGTGCGAAATCTCGCAACGGCGACGCGGTAGGTCCGGACATGGGCGCCGCGGGCTGGGGGCTGAAGGCCGGCGCGATCCGAACAGTTCCAGTTACCCTTTTCAGACAGTTCCTACTTGAAATCACCCTCCAGAGCTCCAGCCCCACCGGACGCGGGATCCTGAATTCCTAATCCACCCTTGCGAACAGAGGAATCGGACGCCACCTCTCAGATTCTGTGACTACCAGCGCGGACAAGCCTCGGCAGATCCGTCTGCTGCCTGCGCTACGCCCCTTCCAGTCGGCCACGGAGGCCGCCGGTGCCAGCCCAGCATCGCAGGCTCGCAGCCGACACAGCCCCCTCGGTGCCCCGACCACCTGCTGTCCATTGCACGGTTCTTTTTATTTTTCGAACCCGTATACGTAAGTTCAGAACTTCCATATGCACGGATGTACATTGTATACATTGAATCTCAATTTTTTAGAGAATATATTGAATTTCATGTTATGCTAGATTTTTTTTTTGAGAATATGCTAGATTTTGGAGAAACTCATGTTATGCAGATATATACATCTCATGGTACTAATATAACGGAGGGCCTTTTTTCTGGCCCAAAGTGTTACTGGGCCGTACATGCTCAAAGCACAAAAAGAGCAGGGGCCCGGGTAGCAAGCCGTGACGCCGTCCGATCCTGAACTGAACGGACCAGATTGCTGCCGGAGGAAGCAGGAGTAACTTGGCCTCGCGCCGCGCTGTGCTCTGCTGCCCTCTGCGAACCACGGCGAAGGCATCGGGACATGGCCGGCGCCCGCACGACGCCGACGAGGACACGGCCGCGGTCGTCTTCCCCGGCGCCCCGCACTGAGGTGGTAGTCCCACCGGACTGGTCCTCCGCTGTATCGACCGTCTCCTCCCACCCCACGCCCCCGGTGGTGGTCGTGTGCGGGCCCAAGAACAGCGGCAAGTCCACCTTCTCCCGCGTCCTCCTCAACGCGCTGCTCCCCAGGCAAGCCACCACCACAGAGTCAAACCCCCCAAACCCCCTAGCCCTGACGAGTGACGACCCCGTTGGCGATGCTGGTGGTCCTCTTAACTGATGGTGTCGTGGTGCTTTGCAGGCATGGTAAGGCTGGTTATCTGGACACCGACGTTGGGCAGCCGGAGTTTGGGCCGCCGGGGTGCCTCTCATTCAATGTCGTTGACGAACCTATCGCAGGTTAGTACATACGCGTGTGCCGGATTGGGTGTCAGTGCTGGTGTTTTTTCAAATGCGGCAGTTATCTTTGGTCCATTCGTCACTGACAAGATGATTTTTGGCTTTTGTGCAGATTTGCTGAACCCAACATTACAGGAAGCTGAAAGGTGTGAAATTTCTCCTCTCATTTGATATTTGTGTACAGTATTAAATTGTGATTAGCTTGTAGTGTAGTGTGGTAGTTTCACTTGCTTTCTTCACTTCAGGAATTTGTGAAAAAATTTATTGTGGGATTTCTTCGTTTTGATTACTGAAATAGTTGTGGTAGTGTGTTAGTGACCATGTAACTTTTTTGTTTTTGCCAGAGCAAATATTTCCAAACTTTTGTCATCCCTGCTTGGCTTTCACTAATGCCATTTACAAATTCAATCAGGTGCTACTTCTTTGGTGACATTTCTTCGAAAAGAGATCCAGAAGCATATCTTAATTGCCTATTCCATTTGTATGACTACTTTGTTGGAAAATATCGATGCGATGAGAATGAAATGCTGCCACTAATTGTCAATACTCCTGGATGGGTAAAAGGTATCTGTTAGTCATTCCAGAGCTGATTTGCTTTGTCTTATACCACATACTTGTTTCAGTGAAAATCTTAGGTTTTCTTTTTGTATTTTTATTTAATGCAGGTGCTGGTTTTGATATGCTTGTAGAGATGCTAAGGTATATGTGCCCCACAATAGTTGTTCAGATACGCATCACAATGCAGAGCAAGAATCTCCCTGATGGAGTGTTTTGGCTAGATGGTGGGCAAACAGGACCTAAGATGATTATCATCGATGCTGCATTCCATGATGCCTCGAATAGATCGTAAGTAACTTTTTTCAGTTAGAAATTAAGAAACTGATATAGTTGTCCTCTTACTTGGAAAATATATATGCAGGCTCATACCTAAGAACATTAAGCCATTTATCTCTAGTTGTACTCGGACCTGTATCTGCACCATTCAAAGATACTTGCATTGGGGAATTTTACGTGTTCTCAACCAGGGTTGACTGGATAATGCATTCCATATTTAGCTATCAGTTTCCCTTATACCATGTTTTGACTCTATCTATATAGGACTGAAAGAATGCCAACCTTTTGTCTGAATTCTTGTGTGGCTTTGGTGATCAGGATGATTGTTTTCTAGTCACATTTGTGTTGCCATCTGCTTACAACTTCGCACCTGCAAGTATCTTGTTCCAATGATTGTCTTTGTTCCAATGAGACAATCATTTTGTGAACTCAATACTCTGTTCCATACCATTAGGAGGCATCAGCTTGCTCATAGGCTGCAGTTGATTAGTTTATTTATTTATTTATTTTGCCAAAAGAGTGCTTACAGGAGCTTCTAATTGAAGCAAAAGCTAACATCATCTCTATTGCCAAGGTTGTTAATTCAGAAAGATTCAGGTGGAATGCGTGAACGCCGACTTGTGGAGTACTTGAAGCAATGTTTTCCAAGCAACATATCTCTATCAACTAATAAGGAGCTTGCTCATGCACTAGCTTCACTTCCACCTTATCAAGTGCTATTTTCAGATGTTACAGTTGTGCATCTTCATTGCGAGGTAAGTTGTCTTCCCATTGCTTCTATATCTGTTATCCACATCTTTCAGAGTTCGGACTTTGAGTGAAATGACATGTTTAATCTGTTGCCTTCCATTCCTATGATGAAATGCCCAGGATTAAGGCACCTGAAGGCTACTATGAAATATTTACTCATGGGTGGGGCGCTGAAAATTCCACGGATAATTCTTATAAATTTATAAACCAAGTTTCAAACAAATGATTATAGACAGAGATGCTATTACATAAATAGTATCCCTTGTATAGTATTCTAAACTTGCTGTTACATATTCTCTTACCTTAAGTTTTATGTATTATTAGTTTAGTCATTGACAAAGATTAGATGTGCAATCCTTGAACTTATCAGCCTGGCTTATCAGCCATAGTACAGTGTTTTTCTCTCACAACAAAACAGCATTAGCCGGCTTATCAACCGCAGAAACCATCAGCCGAAGAGTCTCAACATCATGAATATTTGCATGCTGAAAGTTTACCCTAGAGTTCTCTGTGATTGTGTAGTAAATCAGAAAATGTGGTAGCAGTTTGGCTTGTATTTCCTCTGTGATTGTGTAGTAAATCAGAAAATGTGGTAGCAGTTTGGCTTGTATTTCCACAGTTAGTGGAAGTCCTGAACATCAACATGGTTACATGGTTACTCTTTGCCCAGGTACCTGCTGGTGAGATATGGCGTAGTCTGAACGCAACCATAGTTGGTTTGGCAGTTTCTAATGCATCCGAGGGAACCAGATCAGTGCCTTATTGTGTTGGGCTAGGTAATATTTCAGTCAACTGTCTTTTTAAGTTTTTGTTTTATTAGTTCCACTGCAAAAGCATCTTGGATTTGATTGGCTACCTAGCTCATTTTAGAGTGGGACTCTTAATTGTTTTGTAACTAGTATCGGGCCCTGGCCCCAACCAATTTGCAGCTGGAGAAAGTTCAGCTCGATAGAGCATGCAGGTCGTGAACAAAGTGTGGTTTATTCTGAATAATGCGGTTTCAGCAGCCAATAATGCATTATCTGATATCTGTGTGGAACTGTGTGTGCAAATAATAACAATGTTATGTAATTGTGCAGGCATCGTAAGGGGTGTTGACGTTCAAAAAGGCCTGTTATATCTAATAACTCCTGTCCCTCTCCAGCAATTGCAAAGCGTAGATCTTTTGCAACAGGGTCTCATTGAGATACCTACTACTCTTTTGCAGGTAACATGCTTTCCCCCCATTCTGGCAATTGGCTGCAGCTGCAAGGAAACAACTAGTATCTACTGTAGCTACAAACCGCCGCAGCCGCAACCCGATAATCTGCAGCGAGCAGGCTGTTAGTAGCTAATGCATATTATAGTGTTCACTTATTGGATAGTATAGCTAATGGGTGGCCTGCATGTGTTTTAATAGACATATTGCTTATTGAGAAAGCTGTAA